AATTTTCCTTCCCTTTATCTCCTCTTCAGTGACTGGTCCCTCAGAAACTAGTGCTAAGCCAGTCACAGAGAATTCATGATTTCAACTGATGCCCGTTAGTGCATTGTACATTTGATTTTTCTTCACATTTCATTTAAAAATCTTTTCATATTTGATAAATATGGTGCATTGGCATATGGGCTATGGTTGGAGCGTTGGATGCGTTGAACAGCGTTGGTGTATTATGTGGATTTATCATATTCATATTATGAATATTTTCAGCGAATTGAATAATATTAAAAAAGGATGCAATTCATGGTTGTACTCGATAATTCTCACTTAAAGGGAAAGTCCACCCCCAAAATAAGTTTGTTTCGATAGAGGCAGAATAATAAGAAAATCAGGTGAGTGAAAGTTTGAGCAAATTCTGAATGAAAATAAGAAAGTTATGAATTATTGAAGTTGTGATCAATCAAATACAAATTGGCAACTCTGTGACTTAGTATACGAGCTCTCCTTCATTTGCTTTGTGCATAATATTCCATAAAATCATGTTTTCTTCGTTATTGATGACGGAATATATATTTGTTCCTTGCAGGGGGAGTATAGAAACATATTTGCAATTATTATATTTAGGGTGCATGTATGGTTGAAATTTTTCTTGAGGAAAAATGAAAATTTTAGATTTTTTTAGTACTGAGCAAATGGAAGTTGAGCTCGCGTGATACGTCATAGAGTTGCCAATTTGTGTTTGATTGATCACAACTTCAAAAATCCTAACTTCCTTATTTTTAATCGGAATATGCTCAAACTTTCACTGACTTGTTTCTCTCATTTTTCTACTCCTATTAAAACTAACTTAATTTCAGGGTGGACTTTCCCTTTAACATATTCTCTCTCTCTCTCTCTCTCCCTGTCTTGCATAAAGGTAAATATGAAAATAATATTGTGCCTTGATTAAGAAAAATTGAAAATTGTATCAGTGTTTAACAGGGAGAAGAAAAGGAGAGAAAATTAATCAAAACAAACATTGGAGAATCTAATTCAGTGTTCTGTCGTGATGCATACGAATGAAAGTACACTGTTGGTCATAATGGTGGAATATTTATTTTTACCCCAGTTTAGGGAAGGATTTAAAAAAAATTACTTATTTCTAATAGATCTAGATAATGGCATACATTCTCAGATTTTATTGAATATTAATTTGCAAGTGTTTGTTTTGCGTGACTGCTTAATCATATGTGTGCTACTATGCTAATGAGCTAAGGGACCTACGTCCTAAGTCATAATTTACAGTAATGAGGATTAATGCCTCACAAAAGAGTACTAATATATAGCTGATCGACACGATTTTTATACTGGGGCCTCACAGTAACGAGGCCATTGCTTAGCCCCTGAATCATGACTGTACGCAGTGATTGCTAGGGTACGCGGCCCCTTCCACAAATCCCCCAAAACGAAGAAAATGCAATAAATTGTCAAAAATTCATTGCATTTTCCCCCGGCCCCCAACAGGAAAAATTCCTCTGTGTGGCCATGCCTTGAACCATAATGCATGGCCCTACAGAGGAATTTTTCCTGTTGGGGGCCAGGGAAAAATGCAATGAATTTTTGACAATTTATTGCATTTTCTTCGTTTTGGGGGGATTTGTGGAAGGGGCCGCGTACCCTAGCAAACACTGCGTACAGTCATGATTCCGGGGCTAAAGAATGGCCTCATTACTGTGAGGCCCCAGTATAAAAATCGTGTCGATCAGCTATATTAATGCCCTTTTGTGAGGCATTAATCCTCATTACTGTCAATTATGATTTAAGGACGTAGGTTCCCTAGCTGATTAGCATAGTAGCACACATATGATTTAGCAGTCACGCAAAACAAACACTCGCAAATTAATATTCAATAAAATCTGAGAATGTATGCCATTATCTAGATCAATTAGAAATAAAAAAAAATAAAATCCTTCCCTAAACTGGGGTAAAAATAATTATTCCACCATTATGACCAACAGTGTACATACAAAGGTGAAATAATAAATTGAAGAGCGATGATAAATCAATTCTTTGACGTTGATTGATTGAATAAAAAATAATGAAACAATATGGTCTCAGGGTCATATATCTTCGAATATTAGAAAGCTTCATCCACCATCGTGTTGTTGAACACTATTTGCAATTTAATTTCAATGCGGTGACTTGTCGGTTACGAGCAGAAGGTCATTTCAGGCTCCTATATTCTATAATACTATCAACAGATATCTGGATATAGACACTTCAAGCTACGAGTCAGAAAGTATAGCATCATCTCACAGAATTCTACTCGAACACCGCATCGAAAAAAAAATTCACCCTTTTTTGTCTTCTTCCTCCTTTTTGTTGGTTCCTTTTAGCTCTCCTTTTTTCCTTTTCCTTCCTTCTTTCTTTTTTTAGCGGGGGCGGGAGGAGGCAAAGGCCTTTTGCCCCACCCTAATCCCGATCCGCAACTTGTTAGCAACTTGTACCTGACCCTCAGATAGACAAAGGAACATCCCTTCACTGCTATTATGTAAAACAGGTGTCACTCACATGCATATTCACCTTTTTACATAATAGCAGTGAAGGGATGTTCCTTTGTCTACCTGAGGAACTGTATATTTTGTCCGCTTTCTTAGTCAGTCATGTTCATAGTGAGGGTGGGGGTGTCTGTGTGTTTGTGAATATTCCTGGTTGTTCTGGTGCATGTTTGGTTTGTATAGTTTCCCACATCTATTTTTTACACTGCGGATTTTTTGACACAGAGTTCACTTACAGTACACACACTTATATTTGCAATTTCACACATAGGCTATACATACAAACACTCTCTTTCTCTCTCTCTCTCTCTCTCTCTCTCTCTCTCTCTCTTCTCTCTTTCTCTCTCTCCCTGTCTCTCTAAACATATACCAACCCACCCTCATGTATTTACAAACACATAAGCAACAAATGCACACACTAGCTATCAATAATACACAATAGACACACACAATGAGTATGAATCTTATCAGGATGGTCCTTGAAGACATGAGATGGTCGCAGGGGCGTACGAAGGATTTTTCAATGTTTTTTTTTTTAATCGGGCCAATTCTTTTAAACGACTCAGCCAGCCGCTGAATAAGCGGGGGGGGGGGGGGGTCCCTAAAAATCGCAACGACTCACCCAGTCACTGAATAAGCAGGGGGGGGGGGGGGTAAGAGGACATTTTTTTTTTTTTGGGGGGGGGGCCGAAATTTGAAATTCTGACCCATCGGCATACCGTTTTTGGGGGAGGGTAAGGTCATCTTTTTTAGGTCCTCTATTTTTTTATTTTTTATTTTTTTTTAATATTTTAAAAAAAAAAAATTTTAAAACTCAAAAGAGTTCTTTCCCCAAAAAAAAAATCATACACAAAACATACACATAAAAAACTCAAGGGGGGTTAACCCCCCCCCCCCCCCTGCGTACGCCGTTGGATAGTAAGGTGTGGGTCAAAGCTACTGTGTTGCTCTGGACATGATATCCTGACATATCAGTGGTTCTGGTTCCTTTGTGACAGAAGAACCTGGCCAGAAAAAACAAAGAAAATAAAGTAATACATAAGTCGTGTCAAAGACAAGCTTCTATTATAAATATGCATACCTAGTGCACATTATACTGATTTATCTGACTAAGTCCTTTTGCAATCTTTTATATATCTTCAAACTTCTTTTCTCAAGATCATCCAACTTAAATCAGAAACGAAACAATAAGTTCAAGTTCAAGTTCAAGTTTATTCAAACCAATCAAACACAACATTTTACAATCAATTGACACAAAAGAAATAAAAAACATGATAGGTTTGGGACCCCGGAGAAGCAGAGCTTGTGATAGGGGGGCCCCTTAAAAGGTACATAAACAAAAACAAAATAACAGTATTTAGAATAACCGATGACAAAAACATATTTACAATGATAACTAATGAGTAAATATGGGAACAGAAAAAAAAGATAACACACATACACATACACACCCACGCACACACACACAGACACACCCACATACACACATACACACATGGCTTTCCAGGATTTACTTTAACATATTTTGTAATCTCTCAAAAAGATATTCTCGACATTTATGTTTAAACATAGGTAGTGTTGGACTGGATCTGATGTTTTGTGGCAACTTATTCCATTCTTTGATACAATTAATTACAAAAGAGTTCGAAGCAGTTTGTGTTCTCGCAAACGGCTGATGGATAAGATTTCTCTGACGTGTGTTGTACGAATGGACAGTCGAATTTACAATAAACGCATCTTTTAAAAATGAATTATTTTGAGCAGATTGAGATTTGTACATGAATATCAAACAATTCATGGAGACTAATTCATCAAGAGGCAACATCTGAAGTTGCACAAATAAAGGATTACTTGGATTTCTGTAATTTGAATTTGTAATGAGCCTGATAGCTTTCTTCTGAAGGACTATTAACTTGTTTATATGGCTCCTTTATGTATTTCCCCATGCAACATTACAATAAGTTAAGTGAGGCATAATGATAGCATTATAAAGAGTTACTAAAGTTTGCTCTGGTAAAAAAAAGCGTAACTTAAAAATCACACCAACACTCCTCGAGACCTTGGTACAAACATTGCTGAGGTGATCTTTCCAAGTTAAATGCTCATCAACTGTAACTCCAAGAAACCTTACATTTTGACTCCGGTTGATCAGATGACCACCTATTGTCAGGGGGTCAATATTATCTGGGATTCTTTTGCCCCTTGATCTAAAAACAACATATTGAGTCTTAATATTTAAAGGACTTCCATTTCTTTGCATTAATTTGAGCTTTCAACAATAAATACAATCAGCAGGTTCATAACCTTTGACCTACTTTCATGAATTTAAGCATTAAAATATCCCAATTTTAAATAAAACCTGAACTCTCACTATTTATTCTAAGATTCAGACGCCGCCATAATTGCTCATGTAAAAGTTACATCTTTGAAGCAATCACTGCGCATGCATGCAGAGTACGTACGTACACAGCTAGCTAGCATATAGCTGCATGATATAAGCAGCTAATTCGACTTGTGTCACGCGCATGCGTAATACTACTAGTATCTTTGCAGCTCAGTCATGAATACTCATGATGCGTATACCTCTGAACCAATCAGGTAGGATTTTACGCTCATAGGTAAAACTGTTTGGGAAAAAAAATCGCCGCCCGGCCTGGCCTCTTCATACGCTACTATTGGAAAGCCATAAAACCACCAGTATCCTCAGCTTGGAGTCAAAGCTGTTGATACGGGCAAACCAGAACGTCATACACTGAGCAGCACAAAGGGTGGCCGTTTGCAAGACTCTAAAGACTCTCTACAAATACAGTAAACCATTGGTAAGTTACGTTTAGTGGACGCAGTGATGCCAATTCACTTTTAACAACTGTTCTAAAGTTTTCGATCACGCTGGTTAGCGCGGAGTCAATAATTTAAAATGACTCGGTAACATTGTTGAAGGTTGATGAAAAAAATTGCTTAAATTTGTTGTATAAAATGTTACTTACTATATTCCTTCTACTATACTAACCCTTTGACATGCAACAAATCCTGAACAAATTCTTAAACCACAAAGATATTTATGGTTTTCTTTGAAGGCGTCGATGTGAGGCACCCTCTTACACTGATTAACAGTAAATTCTCCCAACCATTTTTGAATTTTCCCAACCGTTTTTCCATGAGAAAAATACATAAAACAGGCTATAAAAATATGTCAACTCTTAACTGTTTGGAATGGAATGTAGAGCCATTTTATTGCTTTGTGACGATTTACATTCACCTAAAATGTAATTAAATTGTCCTTGTATTGATGCTGAACGGGCTTTGACAAGTAGCAGAATAGAAGTAGAATAATATAGTTGGGAGAATTAAGGAATCGATCAGATCAGTTTTTCCTAATTTGTACCATGAATAATGATCCGTTTTCACTCAGATTTTCAGATTATCTTCAATTGTACATCTAGCATTAACGTCACTACCTTAGCACTGCTATCTCTGATCTGTACAATGTTACAAAGTCCCTTTAATGACCCTTTAATTTTGCATACGTTCAAGAATATTTACCTCAATACGTACGTGACCCCTTTTTTAACTTTACAAGTACAAAATGGGAACTATATAAATTATAGGTCTAACCCTTTTTTTGCTAATTGAGTACACATTTAAAAGTAGTGCCATGTTTCATTCGCAACATACACACACAACAAAACAAATATATATATATATATACACATTCACATGTCGATCTGCAAAGTTTGCGAACATCGATACTGAGAATATGTCGCTTTTCCTCAAATTAATTGATCTTTACAAAGAAATACCCGTTTTCGAGTTCGTGAACATTGAGCGCATTGAATAAGATTTTATTAGATTTTGTGCTATCTAAGAAGGCACCTAATTTTCAACCGGGGTGCCGCGAGAGAATTTGAGTAATACTTTTTAAAAATCATTATTTGGGAATAATGTCGATTATATGAAAACCAAATTATTACAAACCGTTAGAGTATGTAATTTGATGAGGAAATAGCATTTCGAAGGTGATAGAGTGTCTTTGTTCCTCGCTCTCTTCGCTGCTCACAACTTTTAAAAACAGGATAATTTCTGGCAGGCGAAGTGCCTGAATACCTTCATCGTTGAGCAATGAAGTGCCCATTAAATAGACTTTTATTTAATAGAGAGTTGCCTGAATATATATTACATCCTTTATATCAAATTACATTTTGACCACGCTCATTTGCTTCACTCGCTCGCAACATTTAGAAAGATGATAATTATTCTGACCAATGAGAAGCCCGAATCTCTTCATGTTCGTGCATCGAATCGACCGCATCAAATGATTTTGGCATTCATGTTTTCTGCAGCGAGATTCTCGCGCTCTTAATTCTATATTTTATCATGTGTGTTAATCATAAGGTAAATTTTGTTATCATAACAAAAGTATCATAATTTTTTGCTCGCTTGCTCCGGTCGGTCGCAAAATTTAGAAGAAAAAAATTGCCATAGTGTAGATGGTACTTGACGCGTGTTAGAGTGATCCTAACTGAATCTTCTGTAAATTATTTAGGATTGGGGTGACGCGAAACTGTTTCATTTCTTTGAAAGAAGTGCCATGCGGATTATGTTTTACCATCTGATTTACACAGTGATAAATTGAACGATTATTTTGTAAATATTGGTAAAAAAATTCAGAAGCTTTCAGTAATCATGATCTATCATGGAACCATCCTGAAAGTATACATACTTCGTCTTGAAATCAATCAGTCCCGGGAAAACTAAACATAATCTCTCTCTATTGTCGAAAGAGAGTAGCCTTGATATCTTAGAATTTGATAGAAAATTACTTCAAATTTCAGCTCCTTATATTAATGTTTCTCTTAACTGTCCTTTTAATGAAGGTTTAAATTGTGGATTTTTACCTTGATATTTCAAAAAAATTGGATCGTATTGACCATGAACTTTTGTTGTCCAAATTGAATAAGTAAAGTATTTTAAATACTGAACTGAAATGGTTTTCTAGTTTTTTTATCTGGTCGGAAACAAGCAGTTTACTGTCATGGTAAACTGTCCGAAACAAAGGACATTACTATAGGAATTCCTCAGGGGAGTATTTTAGGCCCCTCCCTCTTTCTAGTTTTTATAAATGATATAACTGATTGCTTACGGTTAAGTACATGTAATATATACGCTGATGATGTTGTCGTATATAAAAATAAAAATAATAATAATATTTAATTTTTATATAGCGCTTAATACAAATGTCTCTAAGCGCTTTACAAATATATGTTTCTGGTATGGATATTTATATCATCTAAGCTCCAAGCAGATTTATATGCTATAAATGAACGATATTGTAAAAATGGATTACGTATTAATACTAATAAGAGTAGTGTGTTGCTGTTGAGTAGTAACACACGAGGTAACGATGAATTAAGTCTGAAGGTGCATATTGATACTGAAACAATAAAACAAGTAAGAAGTATCAGATATTTAGGGATTGAAATTGATAATAGATTATTTTGGGATATCCGCATTAAATCTCTTACCAAATCATTAAGTTATAAGATTTTTACTTTGAGAAAGCTCAGTAAATTTTTAAGCTCTTCCATTTTGAATAAAATATACAAATGTACCATACAGCCAATCTTAGATTATTCTTGTTCCGTATGGGGAAACTGTTCTTTACAAAACAGAAATTTATTTTAAGACTACAAAAAAAGAGCCGCACGTATTGTCGTAGGGAACTTTGATTATGATGTACATAGCTTGAATATAATGAATTCATTAAAATGGCAATCCAAAATGACGGGACTATTTTTTATCATGTATAATGTACAGAATAAAGAATGAAACGCCGATAATACCAAACAACAACAACTGTATTCATGTAAAAGCCCCAGTACGATTATGCAATGAAGTGGAAATGGTTTTTGACAGACATGGTTTTAACACTAGACTTGGCAATACGCTGGATGTTGTTTTACCCAAGCCTAATCTTGAATGTTTTAAGAATTGTTTTAGATACGCTGGTGGTAAAATGACAGGACTAGTTTACCTTCTGCTTTTCAAAATGCTAAATCTATCGATGTTTTTAAATGTATGTACAAGGACAATTTTTTAAACCTGTGTGATACAATGCCGATTCATTACTGCTTTGACATCATGATGGCTTATTTCTCTCTCTCTCTCTCTCTCCATTTCCCTCTCCCCTCTTTCTTTCTTTCCCTTTTTCCTCCTTTACTTTTTACCAGTTTACTTATATCTTTTCTCCTCTTCTTTTTGGGGGGGTGATATTTTAATGCCTTTTATAAAAGTGATTTGATGTTTTTTCCGCTGTTAATTTCAATTATAACATTGTCGTTTTTGTTTTGTTTTGTGCTTTTTACAACTTTTAATGCGTATTATGCTTATATGTTAGTTTTATACTGTTCTTACCTTTGCTTGTGAGCTTTGGAGATAGTCATTACTTCCGTGTACTACATTTTTATCGTGTTCAGGACCATGATGTAAAACAGATTTTGTATCGACAATGTATATCTCATTCTTGTTATCCTGAATAAATATATTTCAATAAAATAAAATAAAATAATACAAGTACATGTAGGCTTTTTAGTGTTTGCAAACCGCCCTAAAAATTACATTTATTAATTACGCGTAAGTTATAATAATCATGCGTACGCATATAGTCAGTGTGAAATGTTACCACCGGGAGTGGCAATTTCTTGCATACCATATGGAAACGTTGTATCATCCGCTCAATCTGACTTGCGTGCATAGAACAAATAAGCATTTTTCCATGAAAAAGTGAAGTTTTCTAAAATGTGCGTTTCTTTCCATCATTGGGGCGCCCGGAAGTCACTCGGGTAACATTTCATAAAGTATAATATAAAAAGACCATATGCAAATTTTCTGTACTTTTGTCGGAAAAAATACATTTATCCAGCACAATGTCGTTTCTTTTTGCGTTGGAGAAGAGCAAATAGCGAGTTTCAATCACACTTTGGCCGCTCTCGCAAGCTCTCACTCGTTTCACTGCGGTTAATGAAAACACTAATCGTTAGCTTTCTTCTGGTATCAAACTTATTTTGATTGATTGTATAATTTTGTCGGAATAAAGGAAACAAAAAGGCTCGACCAATAACTTATCAGCGTCTGAAGTGACATTTTGACCTTGAATTCCCTGATGCAAGCGCACTAATGACGTCATCTTTGCTAAATCGGTATCTTTTATCGTAAAATGCGACACTTTCACAATGTTTATACATCTTTTTTTAATTATTAGTAAGATATAACATATTTTTTCTGATATCACTGAAGTTTTTGGTTTTGTTTAATGAGTAATTTTGAAATAAGACCCATTTTACTGTTTTAATTTACTGGATCGTACCATTAAAGTCGCAGGGTAGAAAGATGCATTTAATTAACGTTCCGACATTCTGTTAAATGGGTTCGTGTTGTTAAGAATCCACTGCTTTCTGCTCCAACAAACGTCCACATGCGGAGTCGTTTATCAACTAAATTATTCAAATTTATGGATACTTCCTAGCTTCCCAGGTGTTTGTGTTGCTGTTGAAGCATTTCATTCACCTACTATCATGCTTTGTACTCCAATTGCCAGAACGCAAATTTCATTTTGGTTTTATAGTTTCATCGGAGTCGTTTATCAACTATATGTATTCAAATTTATGAATGCTTCCTCCCCAGGTGTTTGTGCTGTTTATGCATTTCATTCACCTGTTATTATTCTTTGTACTCCAATTGTTAGAATACAAAATGCATTTTGGTTTTATAGTTCCATGCAATAAGTAAGTCAATAAAAGAGTATGTTTTGCACAATAAAAAACAATGTGTGTCCCTATTGTACAATTTAATGTGTCCCCCCTTTTTGTAATAGTTAATTTACCCATTCACATAATGGAACTACCTGCCCGATGAAGCCAGTGGCCTATGACCACTGAGCACTCAACACCGTGTGGGAGTCCATTCGTGATCAAATTCTTTTATGAGACAAATACAAGCAAACGTTTCCATATGAATATTACAAAAAAGCAGGGGCGGATCTAGCTTTTTCCCAGGGGGGGGGGAGGGTTGACCCAATTACGATGCAGAGCATCGTTTACGAGCCGCAAAGCTGCGATCCGATTTTTGTAGCTTTTTTTAACACCCGTTAGTTTTGTTTTCTTGGCATCAACTAACATGCGGAGCATCGTCCACCTTATTTGCTTAAAAATTAAGAATTAATTCAATTTCCACCTTTAGCACGTTTGTTTAGTTATTAAACTTGCTTTATCTACTAAAAAATATTTTTTTTGAAAATCTTTGCCATCGTGTTTGAGAAGATTTTTCAATATTTGTTTTCTTCACACAGAATCGTTAATCATGTTGGCAGTTTGTCTCCTCACTTTCATCGCGATGTCGATTACCGCAGTCCCGGCCACGACCCCGACCACGACCCCACAGCCTCCTAATGGAATTCCCAAATGTGCAAGTGAGTCTTTCAATAGATATATTAATTTATTTGTATATAATTATGTATTTGTGCATTTAGTAGACTATGTATGAAAGTATTTTTTATGTATTCATTTATTTATCTAGTTGTGCATTTATTGATTTATTGATCCATGTTTGTTTTTTTGTTTTTTCATCTATTTACGGCTCGGTGTAAAAATGTCAGAGGAAAAAATGTCAGAGGTAAAAATGTCAGAGGTAAAAATGTCAGAGGTAAAAATGTCAGAGGTAAAAATGTCAGAGGAAAAAAAGTCAGAGGTAAAAATGTCAGAGGTAAAAATGCCAGAGGAAAAAATGTCAGAGGTAAAAAATTTCATTAATTTCAGCGCTGCTTTATTTTCTTCTTTCTGTAACTTTTATAATTATCTTTCTGCCCGAAATTGGGACCTTTTGCCCGATTATTGCCGAGGGGAGACAAGGGGGGGTGCATCCTTCGTAGTGACCCGGCTGCCTCCCCCTCATATGCCTTTGTCTAAGCAAGTGATACTGGTACACTGAGCAAACTTCTGGGAAACAAGAATGTCTAAAATCGAATAGTTTGGCAATGAATAATTATAGGCCGAGTTGTGGCTCGATGGTGTAATCATTAAATAAAAAGAAAAGTCATCACAGCCCCCCCTCCCCCCCCCCCCAAAAAAAGAAAGAAGATAAGATATCACGCTGTGAGTCCTCCGCCACCCCCGCCACCCCTCCGCCCCCCGTCCGCCCCCACTTCACCATCCCTTCTGAAGATTGATGGACATTTTAAAATGTGGCAATGACTACTATAAAATGTAATTTCCTACAAATGCATATTTCCAACAATTTCACTTTTTGTGGGCTGTATCAAATGCTAACCGCACCATCACATTCCAGAGAAGCGTGCGCTTTGCAAAGAGTTGATCGTCGATCACTATTGCGGTATAAATAGTCTGGGAGAACATCGATAAGCAGCTCGATACTCTGATACAAAGCAGAAAGCCGCCAATGTTACATCAAATACTAACCGCACCATCACATTCCAGATAAGTGCGCGCTCTGTAGAGGTTCTGTTTAAGCTACATCGTTCTATAATTATTTGCTGTGAGAGATCAAACTCTGAAATTGACAAATATTTATTCATGAGTAACATATCAGAAACATAGTTTTACTGTACACATTTATAGCATCATGATCAAGGGCGTCAATCCGAGTTAGAGCATGGGGGGGGGGGACACAATAAACATGTCACATTAACAGTTACTTTGACAAGTATACCACGTTATGTTGCTACACACACTCTCTCTCTCTATTATTCTGTTTCACGGCATGTAATTTCATTGGTGACCGGTTCATTCATTGCCTTTTTTATATTTGACGTTTCATTACATTTTTAGAGAAAGAAGACGATTCGTTGTATACCGTTCTCGACTCTTAATCCTTGTTTGAATTCAGTTCCTCCCCCCCCCCCCCCCCTCCCGCGCGGAAGCTTTGACGTTACATTAAATTATCAAAGAACTTCTTTTCTGACAAAACATAGGGGGTACATTTCACCACCTGAAAATTCGTGTGGGGGGGGGACGTGTCCCCCCGCCCCCCCCCCCCCCCCCCAGGATTGACGCCCCTGATCATGATACTGCTTGTATACATGATAATATTGTTTAAAGGATATTTGGTGCAGGATTTATACGAGGTGTGCTGGCATACACTGTATACGACAGTTTCCAGCAGGTACATATTCGTACAAGTCTACACATTAAACACAATGCATCATGAATTTGGCAGAACAAAAACAGTTGAAATTGAGGTACTTATACTGTATTTCTCCCACGTTTCTTAATCACAAACATGATTTTTTTTTTTTAAATATAAAGTTACGCAGTGTTATGGTCGAAACTCGAAAGCACATGACAAAATACCTAGGTAGATATGTCTCAACGTTTACCACTTGTAGGCCTACTATCTGACATTCTTCAAGCGAAGCTTTGATATTGTTTGTTAAACTTTTGTAATAAAGTATCGATGAGGGGGACAAAGCATCCGAGTCTTTTTATTAATGTTTTCTTGTTATAACAGTCTTTGCTGGGATTGACATGAAGATGGGTCTAATTACTAAATTTGTGGAATTTCTGTGCAATCTTTATAACTGATTCCCTGTTGTATCTCATTCAATCTTAATATTCTATGTACTTAGGCCTACTTCCTCAAAACCAAATAAACATTAAAACATCAACCAATTTAAAATATCGAAAAATGATAGAAATTAATATATGCAAACCATCACAAAATACAAGTTTCAATTTTCCACATTGTATTATCCTCAGGACATGTACGAAGTATACCACACAGACATTTATAAAATATAATAGACTAGCCCAGTAGCTTACATCTTGACATTTTGTGTGATAAAGTGCCGAGATATTATGATGGCACCAATTTTTCCCCTACATTTTTTTTTTAACCTTCCTTTTTTTTGGTATCTCTGACATTTTTACCTTTGACATTTTTTCCTCTGACATTTTTACCTCTGACATTTTTACCTCTGACATTTTTACATCTGACATTTTTTCCTCTGACATTTTTACCTCTGACATTTTTTACCTCTGACATTTTTACCTCTGACATTTTTACCTCTGACATTTTTACCTCTGACATTTTTACCTCTGACATTTTTACCTCTGACATTTTTTCCTCTGACATTTTTTCCTCTGACATTTTTACCTCTGATATTTTTTCCTCTGACATTTTTACCTGGCACCCTATTTACCTATCTATCAATTTATTTAATTATCTATCTGCAGTCTACGAGTGCCCCGTCTATACTACATTAGAAGAAATTGGTTCAGATATGTGGAAGAGACGGATGGAACAAAGTGCATGGGTGCATAAGGTCGCTCCAACCTGCGACCGAACTGAAGCAATAGGTTTAGTCGTAGGTGACCTCGATGCCTACCTTGAAGGTAAGCTTTGAGAATCAGACTTTTGTACATTTTGTTATAATTCCGAAGAAAGCATAGAACACTTATACTGAGATTGCCAAATTTAGAAGAAGGTTTATCCAACATTTGATTTTAGATGATAAAATTACTTTAAATACGGTCAGCTTTTTGTTTGGATTTCATGGAAGTGAATGAATTCGATCTAATGTTATCATCTTATACGCCAAATACTACACGCTTTCTATCAAACGTAAGTCTAGCTTATCGTTGATCAATTATTTCAAAGCCATTTTAAGATATTATCGTTCATTACAATACTAAACCTTTGATTAAAACAATAAGTTTAAACGGGTATTTGATAATAAATGGACAACATTGGTTAGCTGCCGTAAAACAAAAACAAACAAATATTAGGTTTATGTGCACTAGCATAATGCATTCTACTCCTAAAAAGGACGTACCCTTATCGGATTTAACAAGTAATTAATAATCATAACCAGGCAAGAAATTGATAAAATCAAAATTATCTTCTACATCATTTTTTGATGATTATTTCTTGATGATTTTCATCTATTCGAATTATACATTTAGTATATTTTTTTTAATTCTCGTTTGATTTCCAACGTCTTGCTTTTCTTTACGTTAGCTTTGGAAGAATATCGCCATAATTTATGTATTCGTATATTTTGTGTACAATATACCTCTAATTATTAAGAATAATATATAGTAAGCATTATCCAAAAATAGAAAATAGCAATCCAGTAGCCTGTTTCCTTATCTATTTGAATATAAAAGCCTTTTTAAAGAGAAAGTAAGAGAAAAGATATGGAAGGGAGGAGGGGCGGGGAGGGGGACAAGCCGAGGGAAGAAAATGGAATGAGGACTTCTACAGATATCTTACTGTGCCTACTTTATCTTTTTTAAATAAAACAAACGAGAATAAATGACTCCCTCTCCTCCTTTAAAATATAAGCATAGATATCATTTTAAATCAGTCATTCGACATGGGAGAAAAGTGAAGATGGCAGATTAGATTTTAAACTTCCGCTTCCTAAAATGAAACGGCAATTTACATTCTTTTTTGGCAATGTAATATTCCGTTTCTTTTTGTATTCTTGATGAATTGTTTCAAGCTAATATAGGAGGGATGTATAATATGGCACTTGTAAAGATAAATATTGTATTTGGCTTGTATTTTATCAACATTTCTTTCATGTCGAATTGTTTTGCTAGACAACAACATGATTGAGTCAACACCAATCTTTTTGAGAGTCGAGAAAAACAAACCCGGGCAAAATTCCTCGTGTACCGGCCAATCAGGATCTTTCCCTTGCTGTGACCAAATCTACGAACTTTTCCGCTTCATCCCTGAAGCTTCGCAAGAAACCGCTCCAATCCCATCACAGGTACAAAAATTAAATCCCAGGTAGTGTATTCCTTTTTCAGCCAACATCAAATTATGTAGAACTTTGCAGGAATTATGAATATAATATACATAATAATACGTATATCATATCGGTAATATTTAAACGTTAGCAGTGTCCTAGTATTCAAACTATGCAAGGAAACTCGTTTACTTTCTAGACTTCACTGTCAGACACTAGTTGAGTGACTGACTGACAGACTTTTCTTTCTGTGGTGATAACATACAGTAGCCTACATGAGCATTTGTCTACATCCATTACACACTTCTTGTAATAGCCAAAATTAAACTGATTGAATCTTTACGCAGCACAAAACGTACGACCATTGGGTACAAGGGTCTGAAAATCAGACTATTTAATTAAACGAGTGCGCTCGCTAAAATTCGATTCAACAGACATTTTCAAGTCCTTTTATTTTAAAGGTAAAGACCAATATTGGAAACGCCCCAATTTCAAAAAATGAAATGGAAGCTGTAATTACCAATCATGTGAAGGAATATGTTTTGACTAATACATGATGATAACAAATTTGCCGGGAAACCACCTACTAATTGATATATTGGGTAAATTAGTTTATCTACATGGTATGTGAGAGATAAACGCACGTGTCGCCCATGTGTGCGTATAGTCCAATATACATCTTTCTGTGTACAGTGCTTGTAACTTTACGAAGACTGGGCCATATTTCTTATCATTTTGATGATTCCAGAACCTTGCAGTACACACCAATACTTAAATGCTAGATGATCAACCTTTTCTGATCGATTCCACAACGTTTCTTTCATAATGCAATCGCATGACCATAACTGGTCTTTACCTTTTAATTTGTTTGGCCTGCAAATGGGACATAGTACCTTTAAAACCACGCAGTAGTATAGTGTCCAGGTGTATTGCATCATAATTCGCTGACACCAGATTTGGTTGCGCTTAAACATCTTAAACAGACAGTGAACCCGTTGTCCCGCCAGAAAATACTTCAGCTTGTCAATCCATATCTCCTGGATTAGGGAAGCCTTTTTTTTAATGAGAATTCCTTATGGCGGTAAGTTTAGGGCACAGTGAAGGCCCCGTTGCATAAAACATACCACTGATGGGAACTTTGCCATCAATAGCAAATAAAATGGTAAGAGGGCTCAAGAGCCAATCAAAATCAAGGTTTCCATGGTAGTTACCATTGATGGCACAGTTACCATCAATGGTAAGTTTTTTTGCAACGGGGCCCAGAATTTCATCGGATGCGTCTAGTGCGGACGCATCAGATGAAACGGCCACTGTGAAAGGGGTTGGTGAAAAATGTCCGGTGAAATAGCCGAGAAATAAGAAGAGAAATAAGCGACGCAATTTATGTACGCCATATGACGCGTTTTTACACGTTTTTTTTACAAACCTGGTTTGTAAAAACGCGTCGAAACGCGTCATTATGACGCACGAAAACCAAGGTTTGTCGACAAACCTCCTTTGTGAGTTCGGGCAATACAGTTTATAATAATCATCGTTGGATAATTGTACGAATATTGGCCTGCTCGGCACGTACAGTACAGCAGGAACCTGTACTTTCTACTGTACGTGTTTACACTATACAACTGTGCGACTGTATACGATTATACAGCCTTCGAATGGATTTATAGTTGTATATAAATTATAGTTGTATAGATGTAGAATTTCCTGCGTTTTGATTGGATGGCTGGATAGACGTATAATCGTATAGTTGAATAATTATACGAATATTGGCCTGCTTGGCCCGTTATGGTTGTATATTCGTACAGTTTCATGCGTTCTGATTGGTTAAAACTATACATCCATATAATAAATGTAGAGATATCGACTGCTTGAAGAAGCCTGGCTGTTTTTTTATGCTCAAGGGAACGCGCGCACCTCCTGTCATGACCCTGAGATGCGCCTGGGTGGGCGGCACGGGCAAATTTGGTATACACGCTAGCCTTGCCATTTTTGTGATAAATACCATGGAAGCGACTAATATTATAGTAAAATAATGATTGCTATGAGAGACATAGTTTTGTATACGCCCAAGGGTAGGTTACATCGTGCTTTCGCCCTGAGGCGTGCCGAGGGAGGATAGCACGATGTAACCTCCCCGAGAGCCTATAACAACAACTATGGTCGAATATAAAAGCAGTCATTATAACTTTTATATACCAAAAAGGGTCCGAATACAGTCATGGCGATCACCAATTATGGTAATCAATTTTTTTTTTACGCTGCCTTATCACGCAACACTCGAGTTTGTGTGCTAAAATCCTTCCCATTGAGATTACACGCATATACGTAACATGCCAAAAACGGTCAATAGTCTTTTGAATAGTTCCCTAGGGCGTTTTTTCAAAAGACTATTGACCGGTTTTGGCATTTTACGTTTCTTTACGGGAATGGCTAAAATCACGACTCTAATTTCGACCAATCAAATGGCTGGATTTCTAAAGTGAGGTATATAAGAAATTTTGTCGAACGTAGGGCGATATACATTCATCAGTGACATCACGAGTTCGCGGCGGCTTCTCTTCTGTGTTGACCCTTAGCGGCATCTTGGGAGAAAACAATAACATGCCGACACCCTTTGAGTCAGCCGCGCGGTTTCTTTCATGTACGCGTATCTATAAACGGAATTTGCGCAAGGTATGTTTCGAATCTATATATTGAATTATTTTAGCCGGGATGTATTGGGTTCCCACGGTGTTGGCGTGAGAATTCTCATTCACCTTGCAGATTTTTTAGAGGATGGACGTAGACATTATTCGGTGGCAAATTAATTTACCCTCCAACACCCCGAACTTCATTCCTCCTTACGTTGTTCAAGTGTATTCGATAGTATGTTTTACTAAATATTAAGTGGTCTGGAAGTGTGTCAAGTGATTAATATAACGGATTAGTAATAATTGTTTTTTTTTCACCTTAGTCAAGTAATCTTGATGTCGAAGCAATGCTTGGCAGGTTGGGACTTTCCTGCGATTTTTTGTTCCCGCTTTGCGGTTTTACCAGGGTTTCACCCAATCCTGGGGTAAGGGTCGGGACCTCCTTCGTCTCCGCACTAACGCCGGGTCGGCTTTTTCGTTGCACTTAGGATGGCAAGTTCGAAAGAGGGCGTACGTTTCTTTATGTTGGCCGAACTTGTCCATGGCGAGCGACGACGGGCCGTCCCGGGCTGGTGCGGAGTCGTTGGTGGTTCCGATCATGGGGTTGTCATAAATTAACTATGACAACTCTTCGTCCAAGTTCCTTTTTTCCCCTATATCTTTCGGAAATTGGCATTTTTGCCTCTTCGCATATATATATTGTGTATATGTTAATATATACATATAAAGGTTATTATGCGTATTACGCACTGCTGCAAAATACCTCATGGGAAGTTTGTGTTTTTGAGAATATGAATTGGATTATTTTAATTGGCCATTGCATCTTGTAGAGCTCAATATTTATTGGTTTCCGGTTGGGGCCCCGATGATAACAGGCATTTCGTCCTGTCGTTTATTTATAACATGTACCCGCCTGTAAAGTAGGCATCTGTTCGCCTGTTTGATGCAGTGGAACTGTGTGTCTTCTTTGTATGCAGAGGGGTGTTATACGTTTAGCCCACTTTGTGGTACTCACAGTTAAATTCCAAATGAGAAGGTAAACTCTGCTCGCCCTCTTTAATGAGGAAACAGTGTCGCCTTTTTACGGGCTGTGGGGGGTTGTATACAAGTTCTCTTCTGTTGGTGGCCCGATGCAGAGAGTACTTTGGATTGTGCGCTCCATCCAGTTTTTCAGGTGCAGATACTTGTATAAATTGATCAAAAGATTCGAAAATAATACCCGGGTCCTTCCCTGGGGCGGGTTGGAGCATTGTAACGTTTAAGTAAAAGTATTTTATATTCAGTTGGGAAAGTTTGTGTCGTAGTTGTTATTATTGTCATGATGTTGATATTCGGGGTAACAAGATTCCATCCTCTATTAAATCTCAAGTACCCGCAAAAACGCATCCCGTTTCATTTTGTTACTGTGAGTGTAATAGAGTCTAGCAGCCTCCATGCTAGGTGCATTATACACATCATGCATGCCAATTATCAGCGAGCAACAAATGACAATGACAATGTATTCTCATGTCACCCACATTGGGGTATTGGAGAAGTTTACAATCAGTTTGAATTTGTCAATCTCTCCCTCTCAAATCAAATCAAATCAATCAAGGTTTATTAAAGACATGAATGGCAGTCAAGACTGAATTGTAATGCTTTCACAGTGCAGGTAAAATGCAATGCAAGTATAAAATAACAACATGAGATCAGGAAAAATGGAATTAAATATAATGTGTACAAGCATCATTTAAAATTTGATAGGTAGTACATTTAAATTTGAATTTAAAATGACTGATAGATATTGCCATACTTTTAAAAATAGCATACTATTGCACAGTTCTTAAGCCAATTATAAGTTTGGATTTGCATAGTAAAAGTTTAACATACGTGTGAGATTGGGAAGAGCACTGTTCTGGAATCGCTTAGTTTTACAAGAAAATCCTTGATACTTATTCACGCTTCGTAAATTGTATTTGTTGGTTTTCTACTAGTGTTTAATCACCTACATAATAAATATGACAACGAAGTATCTCTGCAGGCATCATTTATCATTATCAAAAATAAAATTGGGCCAAGTTTTTTTCCTTAAGGCACGCCTACACCATTGTATTTTGATTCTGATAACTGACCTCTATACTTAACGGTTTGTTGACGACTACTCAAAAAATCTATTATCTATTCACATAATTTAGCAATGATGATATTATGGTTAATCCGATCAAATGCTGAAAAATCAGTCAGAATGAGTGTTGACAGTGACTTAAGTTTTTCAGCATTAATATACAAGACGTGTAATAGTCCAATCAGATAGTGACATGTAGCCATGTTCTATCTATTTCCAAATTGATTTGGATCAATTTGGCTGAAATATCTTCCCACAGCCATTTTGCAATAAATGACTCTGCAATCTTCGCAAAATATGAAGTAAGTGCAATTGGTTTTAATTAACTCATCGATTGTAGGTGGGTAAGACTTTACGGCTTTTATAGCAAAGATTACCTTATTTTTTAAGTGACGCCAAAAGACTTGGTTATGTGCATGCCAAGCCTGTTGTCTTTGTACAATCAGAGATTTAACATTACTCTTTGGGTTATTATTAACCACCCCCTGTAAATGGAAGCAATTGAAACCGAAAGTTACTGGAACCAGTCAATTGTCATATGAATTAATGAATTACTGAAAATATTATTGATATTAATTTAACAATTTTGACTAAAAATAGAGAGACATAATGATAGTTTTGAACTCATAACATGTTGTGTGCACATACCTAAATTAATAACTACTTCAATTATAATTACACATAGGAGTAAAGGCATTGCTAATTTAAGAAAATGCTAGACTGGCTACCTTTGTCCTCTACAAATAAAGACTAAATTTACAAAGTATGTTATATTTATGTGTAGGCTTTCCCACCAGCGCACTTTTACGAGTATTATTGCGAAACTGGCGAGGCTAGCGTGTACACAAAAATTGCGCCGGCCACCGAGGGATCATGGCAGGATGTGCTAGTTCCCGACAGCATATAAAGCAGCCAGACCTCGAATATCAAAGCAGTCGATATGTCTTTTATATGCCGAATTGAAACAAAAATCTATCAAAAATTCTTACCTTATCCGTTTATTGAGTAGAGATTGGTTAAAACATCACTGAAAATCTGAGACACTGTCTGTAATCTTTGCTTAAAAAATGACTGAAATTTCAATCATTGGGAATCGCAGACAAAAAGCACTGTATGGTATCCGCGCTCGCACAAGGAACATTTTAGCACGTAAATTAATAGGTATCGCAGCAAAATTCTGCTATTTTTATGGTAACCGGAGTTTTGAGGGATCTCACTCTTGGACTAAACCGGTATTGACATTTTTCTTTTGCTTTACGGGAATGGCTAAAATCACGTCTACAATTCCGACCAATCAGACGGCTGGATTTCTTAAGTGAGTTATATAAAGTTGTATAGCTGTAATTAATATGGGACGTTCCGCCTGCCATACCTGCCTGGTCCGCTATAGTTGCTGTCATCCTTACTTTCTAAATAAGCTATCCTTTACATCGGCAGTTTTGAGGATCTAAGGACTCGTTATTTCTTTCTTTCTCACTATCATCTTGTTGAAAGGCACTGACGGCCCAAATTTTACTTAAATAATCTTGAATAAGGCTGAACCAATTGGGGGAACGTTTGAACCCCCCCCCCTCCCCCCCCCCCCCCAAAAAAAAGCTACAACTTCTGTTTGAAAACATGATAAATAACGGGAAATGTTTCAAATCGAATTAATCGATATTGTGGATTTCATTCTTTTTAAAGGACTCTGGGATTCAGCTACTGCACTTGGATGCTTTTGAGCTCTACGGCATCACCTTTCTTGGGCCCAATCACAATGAGGTGGAGCAATACGAAAAGCTTCGTAAATACCTCGACGAGCAGGGCATTCTATACTATGGAAACTTGTATAATGTTGCAGGTGAGTAATTATGTAGTACATGTGGCAATCATCCACTTAGGAAAACTTTCCCGATAACCATACTATTATTATTTTCTTTATTGTATATTATTTTAGATGGTGATGGTGATGATGATAACTATTATTTATTTTAGTAGTAGTAGTAGTATTGATTATGATTATAATTATTATTGTTATTATAATTGTCATCATCAACATCATCACATCATGGGGGTATCGTGGTATAGTGGTTCATTCACTCAATTTATATCCAAGGGTTGAGGGTTCAAATCTCAGCGTGCCGGCACTAACGTCCTTTGGCCAGACACTAATCCACATTTGCCACTCTCCACCTCAGTGTGAATGTGTACCTGGCAATAACAAGTCCCTCGGAGAGGACCTAACGCATTCGGTTCCCTCCTTGCTTCCTTCAAACTTACACATGACTTTTTAGCAGTCCGGTAAAACAAACAAACAAGCAAACAACATTAACAAATTGAAGGGCCATCAGGATGAACAAGCGTGAAGCTGATGAGGCTGCGTATACCCTTAGTTAAGAAAAATTAAACGTACAAGTAATTTGATGTACTTATTTATTTATTGTATTTTTCTTACAGTTTATGACAAACCAACGGACCCTCAGCCTCATCGTAATGAAGTCGTGATTACTGTTATTTAGAAACCCAGAAGGAATGATAATAATGAAGGCACCGATAACCCAAACGACAGCCAAGAAAACCAATCATATCGCAGTGGGCGTGGTGGTCGTCAAAGACCACACTGATCTCATTCCGTTTTGAGCTGGTCGGCAAACGACTCCAACCAAGATTTTAATGATTTTATGTCATTCCATTTCATTTCTTTAGTCACATATGAAAAGATTAGCTAAAGAATACAAAACAAGAACAATGGAGAAGCACTCGCTTTTTTTTTCTTCACATTTCCAAGGTGTATAATCATAGTAGTTTGCTATCTTAATTTATTATGAGATAAAATACAGTGCTTTGCCTTTTAACTAGTTTTGAAATACATCATATTATTAATCATTTCCAAGGCGTATAATCATAAAGTTGTTTGTTATCTTGATTTATTATAATATAAAATATAGTGCTTTGCTTTTTAACTAGTGTTGAAATGCATCATATTATTAACCATTTCGAAGTTGTATAATCATAAAGTAGTTTGCTATCTTAATTTATTATGAGATAAAATATAGTGCTTTGCTTTTTAAGTAGTTTTGAAATACATCATAATATAAACCATTTCCAAGGCATATAATTATAAAGCAGTTTGCTATATTAATTTATTATGATATAAAATACAGTGCTTTTCTTTTTAACTAGTGTTGACAAAAATCATATTATTAACCGTATTAAACATCTGAGCAAGGCAATTTTCAAGTTTTCATTGATAAGCCAACAAAACTACGGGCGAAAGAAATATTATTGAATAATAATACTCAGTTAACCAATGAACAAATATTTTTGCCCGATCAGAAAAGTCAACGGCAAAATGCGTGTTAAACTAGCGGGCAATAATGCATAGCCAACATCAAAGTATTTGTAATTTTCATTGCGCATATATTAACTGCTTAATTCAGGGCAATGCGGCTTCTCATATCCATACAGTTGTATATCACCCTCACCTTCGGTTCTGGCGATTATGTCGTATTGCCCTGAAGGCAGTCAATATTATTTAATTATTATCCCAGTATTATGGTATTATGACGTATCATAATCAGCATGATCAACGAACCATATTTTCCGGCATTATCCATTTCAGCCATTTCGTGGTGTCCCATTACCATATACATGTAGTTTGGTTATACCCTGTAAATATATTCTTTTCAGAAATGGTAATAAATTCATTTATTCGTTCGTTCATTTGTCCGAAAGTTCAATTTTCCAAATGCTCATGATAATCCGTAGGTTTATCATCATAATTATGGTTATTCCGAATCCCAAATTTCTATACCGGGGGGGGGGGGTCATAATTCGGAAAAAATGAAATAGGATGTTATACATTTTGTTGCGTTATGCCGAAGTTTCGTTTATTCCAAAAGTGAAATAGGGTTCATTATTCCGAATGTCTATACTTTCAAAAAAATGAAATAAGATTTGCTTTTCCGAATTTTTGAATTTTCGAAATATTCTCCCCCCCCCCCCTTGCCAGCCCACCAGGTATTGTGGATCTGCTACTGGAAACCATCCACGATTCTACAAGGAAGTTGCGCTCATAATTTTGATTGTGTCAAGATTAGAGATGATAACGTCTGGTAATTGGTTGTGAGAAAAAGAAATATAATTATTACAATAAATTTAAAGTACCTATTACTGCAGTCAGTGATCGACTTACGTATATGTTATTAATATTAGTACTGTATATCTGTTTGAGATAAAGTGTTTACGTGCAATATACAAACATGACGTAGTCGTAATGTCCTTCTCTTTGATATATTTTTTCTCGGATTGGTATTGGAATTTGTTTGGGCCTATTGATTAATAAATACTTCTACCCGTAAATTTCTCTGCATTCAATTTCTTTACACCTCTTTGCGAAAATCACCGGTTTCTATATTGGAGATATTGATGTAGATTATGATGATGATAATGATGATGGTGATGATAATGATGATGATGATGATATGATAATGATGATGATGATGATGATGTTGATGATGAAAACGATAATGGTGGTATAATAGTGGTAGTGATAATGATGATGATATATTATTGTGACGATGGGGATGATGATGATAATAAGGAGGCGGGGGAAGGGTAGGACATAGGCGCCGGGAGTGGGGTGGCAGGGGGGCACTTGCCCCCCCTCCCCCCACCAAAAAAAGTGGGGGGGGGGCAAAATTCATTATTACCCCCCAAAACGACCCCCCCCCCCCTCCAAAAAAAAAAAGCAGTAAAGGAGTAAAAATGGTTTGTATTTTTAACCCCAAAGAACATAACAATTATAAACAAAACCTGAATTAAAACACATAAAATTCCATTCAAAGAAAAGTTAACAGGAAATGACTTACCCGGAAAAATATGTCTTTCACAGTTTCAGCAGCATTTTTAAATCATTGATATCGAATAAGAAATGACCTACCCCCCCCCCCTCCCCCCCCCCCCCCCCCCTTATCAGAACGCCAGCGTTCAGGGGCTCATGTCTTCTCATCCCTATAAAAAAAAAAAAACACGCTTTTACAATATTTCCACGATGTGCGAGTATCGGTTCTAGGACAATTACCCCCTTAGCAATCATCCCCGGAAAATTATCCCCCGGAAAACTACCACTAAAGGACAATTACCCCCTGGAATATTAACCCCCGAAGAATCACCCAACCGAGGACAATTACCCCCTAGGATAATTAACCCAGAGGACAATTACCCCCTAGGACAATTACCCCAAGGACAATTACCCCATAGGACAATTACCCCCCGAAGACAACTACCCTCCCCCCCCCCCGATGACTATCACCTCCGACGACAATTACCCCCCGAGGACAACTACCCCCCGATGATAATTACCCCCCGATGACAATTACCCCCCCCCCCCCCCGAGAACAACTACCCCCGTGGAAAATCAGCATTCAATAGCAAAAGACGATCTGACACATTAAGAGATGGCTACGAGCCCATAAGATCCCCTGCATGAGCCCATATGCTTTCAAATACTATAGCGTTGTCTTTCTCATTACTACACATTTCCCTTTTATTATAATTTATTCAACGCCAGTGCGGTTGCTAATTACCACGAAGGCTGTAGCACTTTTCAAAATGCATAGACATACATTTCTTTAGAGCAGCGTTATTTTAACTCTTTGTTTATAGTCACGGTACCCTCTTAAGAAATGATAAGTTTCTCCCAAATCCCAAAGTCTTTACAGACTATTAATTGTGCATGACTCTGGCTCTCGTCAAGTGCTATGCACACACGTATGGGCACATTTAAGAATAAAAAGGTGAAGACATTTTCAAACTGGTAAAAAATTAGTTTGTAATCCACAAACTAGAAACTATTTAAAGTACTGTATGCGGGCACCTTCCCGCCGAATGTGCATAAATAAAAAGTGATATATTCGGTCATGACCTTGATACACGAATATGAGGATGTTCGGGCCTCTCGTTGCCCTTATTTGCCTTGCTGTCAAAATACTGTCAGCGAGCGAGGAAGGAAGATACTTTAATATCTTCAAAATTAAATTATCATGTAATTACATATTTTAACCGTTTCTGGTATTTGATTTTTTTTTTACAAAATCAATTTATTTTCTTTCAACATGGCACCGTACATATAACTCGAAGGCAATATCTATTTCAAAACAATTTTACGTACACGAAAACATATTATACTTCAGCATGACAACAGAAATAAATAGATGAGGCATGGATGAGGGCCCTTTATACATACAAAGACAAATACACGATCAGCTGATTAAAAAAGTTACAGAGGATGCCTAAAGGAAATCTTACATCCTAATTTCTTTGTTGTGCCATTGGTGGTGAGAGAGGGTTGTAACGCGTACTCATCTGCGCGCAATGTATTGTTCAAATTCTAAGAAATGTAGTTCCTGTTCTTTACTCGGTAGCAAAACTACGGGGGAATTGGGCAACCTCCACCCCCCCCCCCCCCCCCCATATCGAATTAAATAATTTGAAAAGACTGAAATTAACTTCATAAAAAACAAAGAAAATTAAGGTTTATGAATTTTTTTGTAAATAGCAATTTGGAGAGAAGCTTGCATTAAACGTCACAGTTTTATAAATTCCTCGGGGGGTGATTGTCATTGGGGATAGTTGTCCTCCGGGAGTTACTGTCCTGGGGGGAGGGGGAGTTGTTCTCGGAGGGGGGAGGGTTAGTTGTCCTCTGGGGGTAATTGTCCTCGGGGGAAGTTGTCTTCGGGCGGTAATTGTCTCAGGGGTAATTCTCCGGGGGTAATTGTCCTTGGGGGGTAATTGTCGTCGGGGGGTATTTCTCCGGGGGAATTTTTCCGGAGAGTAATC